AATATGGCCGACCCGAGTTTGAATCCGACCCGTGGTCCTTTGCCGCATGTCTCTCCCCCCCTCTGATACCCCCTTTCTTGTCAGCCTACTATCGAAAGAAACGTGCCATTAAAAAAAAAAAAAAAAGTCAATTATTGCCTTTATTGTGTGATAAAGCCGGATCGCTGGCTGCATATTTTTCACTCAGATGATCCACATTATTTAGCGTTTTAACAAGAAGAAATCCAGACAGCAATTAGTTTTTTTGCACACAACCATATCTATTTCAGCAGTTTAGATGACAACATTCATAGGATTTACTACATAGCCCTGTGGAATACCTTTAGTGATATGTGTTTTAGTTTTATCCATGAGTAGGACATGTTGTGAGTTATTTGCAACTCCTAGACTCCTTGGAAACACGAAAGGTATAAGTAGTTGCTCTTAACCAGAGCTTAACACAAAATTTGAGCCAATTCGACATCATGGTCTTACCTTACATCCGTTTGATCATTTTTCTGAAACATCACAGTACATAGATAATAGAAGCACCCCCATCTTTACATTTAAAATATAACATACCATTCATACTAATATAGTCTATTAACTCTGTCATTCCATTTCAATAGTTTTGCAACTACATGTCCTCCTTCATCCATAAATCAACTCTTCTTTCACATATGTTACTAAGCAGGATTTCAACCCCAGCCTTTGACAGGAACTGAAACCACATATTTCCTATTTTCCACTCCCTGAGTAAGACTGGTTTTCCCACATGAGTGTGTCTCAATCAAGGAGAAAAAGTTTTGATGTGTGTAGTTCTGTTTTGACAGAAAGACAGCTGTCTCCAGATACAGAAACAAAAACGCATGGAGCAAGTACCTTTCCAAGACACTGTGTGAAAAAAAACACTTGACTTTCAGCATAGATTCTTTACATGTTTGTGCGTTTCATTTGACTTTCTCTTGAAGTACCCCATTCTACAGAAGAAATTATTTCAAAGCAACCTTTAGTATTGTCATAAGGAGGTAATGTTTGTTGTGCAGATCCTTATCTAACAACCATTGCATTGATATTTTTTCAGCTTGGTTTGGTCAAAGTTAATGATCAGTCATAAGTAAAACTAACTATTATTTTGCCAAGGAATAAAGATTAGGAGACATGGGATTGGTCTTTTCCGCAGCAAAATTTATAAAAACTGAGATAAATTTCTGTAATAATCTTAATTTCACATTGATTGTTAATGCAAACTTCTAATTAGTCCTTAAAAATGTTTCCGTTTTTAAAGTTAACTAATAGGACTAATGTCTAAAATGTATCTAAAGCAGTGGCAGCTGGTGGAGTTTTCTCCACGGGGGGACTATAACTTCAAAATAGAAGTATATCAAAAACCAATCAAAAGTAAACTAAGGTATCACACCAATATATTTATTTGAATGCTCTATACTGGGTCAGACGATGATGTTTGAAAAAGGAGGCAGGGAAAGCAGAATATAGCGTTATGTAACGCTATTGGTTAAGCTTCACAATGTTATCAGTGGTTAGTACTGTAGCATCAAGATCATGCTGGTTAATGATGGAGCCTTGGAAGTGAACAAAGACCAACACCAAACATAAAGTTTTAAACTGAAAATATATTAATATTCAAAACAAACGAAAACAATATTAACAGTCAAGGAGGACACCTTAAAATAAACGAGGTGCAATGACAATTAATTTAAAGGTTTTATACTTTCAGTCCAAGTCCCAAGGATCATTATTGGGATCTGCTCCAAAGGGGAAAAAATGAGTCCTGAAATAATGATGGAATTAAGAAGAAGTTTATTTAAGTCCTGAAAAGTTTAAGTTAATTTATCCAACCACTCAGGTAGCAGAAGGTAGCTCGCCATCCTGAGTTAATTTTCTCTTTCAATCCAGGGGGAAAATACCTGACGTAAAATGATCAGCTACACAAATGAGTTAACATTTATAAAAGCATTATCTATTTACAGTACCAATCAACCATTTAAAATGTTTGACAGTTTACAAATAAAGATAAATCTCAAGCTGAATCACGCTAAAAATCACCACATGGAATAAATAAGTGACCTGATCCCGTTCCACAAACAAATAACTTATCAAAATCATTCAGTAGAAAACATTTTGTTCAAATATAAGAAAAATGTATTAAGTTAAAAAATATCAGATCAAACTTTCTTTATTGATTAATCATTCATCAAGTTAATTTAAAACATCATCAGAGCGCTCAGAATTCAAGTGCTTATAAAAATGCTCAAGCAAAGTCAAAATAAGTCACCGTCAATGTAGCTGCATTCAACTTAGATTCTGCATTCAAAACAAGCAGTTGTTTTAACACAAGGCACCATCTTATTTTTTTTATGTATCATTTGTAAAGAAAGTAAATCAGTTTATTGAGTTTTAGTTCTCTTCATTAACTATCTTTATAGCTCAACTAATGAAAGTTTTGTAGCTGCATCTTTGCCTACCTCTTTCTGCATGAAGGAGAAATTAAACATACCAAATAACAGAGAGCAGTTCTGCAGAGTTTCGACTGGGATGCCAGATGGGAGGGAGTCCCTCAGGTATGCAGGCAACCGCTTCTCACAGGAGAGCAGCAGAGATGGCACACATTACTGGTGTAAAGGGGATGAAGTTAACTCTTGCTTCACAGAGGTATTCCCTGTATTCTGCCCTCCTCTCTGTGTCTCTGGGTTTCTACAATTTGGCTACAACCCAAGCAGACAGCAACTGCTCAGAGACGTCAAGGTCAACAGTTTCTGTTAGCATAGCAACACTTCTACTTCTATCTATCTTACTAGAGAGTTTTGCAGATTTTCTAACAGTAAAAGGTATGCATAACCTTCATGTTAGGAGAAGGTAAATACATTGCAGCAGATTTCTAAGAAGTTTTAACTAAAATTGAGAAGTGGTGTTACATAACAAAATATTTTCTTTCTAACCCATGAAATAAAATGCTAAAACGTATTGTAAGTTAAAATCCTATTACATCGTCTGAACAGGTGGGGGACTGCATTATGTTACACAGTTAAATGCAGTCAGAATCTCTCAGTAAAGTAGAATAATAGTTGATTGAAAACTAGATTTTTGTAAGGCCACTATATGTTTTTTGTTACTTGGAAGAATTACAGCTCTTTGTATTAGGGCTGTTATTAAAATGTTATTTTTGTACTTCAAGATGTATATTTAAGTTGTGATACTGTAAATCCACATTTTCTTACTTTCTTTTGTTGCACCCTCACAGGATTCTTGCCACTCTCCCAGATTTGTGGTTTTATCTCAGTCTCTAAGATCTGTAGATGAGGTGGACACAGTAACAGAGCATCCAAGAACTGTATCCAATCGTCCCTAAAGTACAACTTAGAGACTTAGACAACTTTTAGACAATATTGTTTTGTGCAGCCTTCATGACATTTCCTATTTCTTAAAGTGCAGCAGTGATCAAATGAAAACAGTGTGGGAGAAAAAAAAACGATGTATATAGTAAATATAATATGTATTAATATATATGGTATATAGTAAATACAATATATCGAAGTAAGTTAATTGGTTATTTGTAATTATGATTTTGCACATATGAAAGTATCCGTCCGTCTGTCCGTTCATCCATCCATTATCCAAAAAAATTTTTATTTAATGTAAACAGAGCTTTGAAGAAAATAATTTTGTTTTCAAATATATATTTATATATTGCGACCAAACATTAACAGTATCCTAAAGATTAAACTAACCAAACACCTATAATGTGTATAATGGGAGTGTCTGCTTAAACCTGACAGTTATTTTTATGACTTTGAAATTGCAGCTACAATCACTGTAAACCACTATCAATCCAAAACTTTCATAAGGTTGCATGTTGTGCACTGATTTTTATTGCCATGAGTAGCTGAAATGTTTCCTGATTACCTGCAATTGCAGGGAAACATGAGGGTTAGAGAAGCAACTAAAATGTAATGATACTTTGATCCCATGTAGCTGGGGTAAAGTTCAATGGGAGTGCTTTGGAATAACAGAGATAAAAATGATACCAGGTCCATATATTTCCTCTTCTAGATTAATCCAGCAGAGCTGTGACGGGATATTGCTCTAATGAAATTAACACTATGAGCGGTCTTAACCCTTTGTAAGGCAAGTCACCGTTTTTAAC